GAAAGTAATGACAGCCTACTGTTAGAATTCTTTTGCCAAGTCAGTCATGAATCAAAAAGAGACATGAGGTGTGCTTCTTAAGGAAGGATTATTGACAGATAGGGATAGGAATATGTATTGAAAAATCCATAAAGGAAGGGATTGTCAATGGTCAGTAATTAACAGATGCATTACAGGCTGACAAGGGTTATCTGCATAATATAAATGTATTGCTGATGATTTTATGATAGACATTAACATTCAGGAAGAAAGATTAACAGACAGAGGTTATCATTTGTCTAATATAAATACAAGGATCCCTTGATTATTATGGCTAATGTGTACATTAAAAGATACACATTAATCTAGATGCATTAATTGAATATAATAATTTATAGGAAGTGATGTAATTTGTACCTCAAATTTTAGTGTCATTCACAATTAATTTCTAATTTGCATACTTTTTAATTAAAATTATAAGATACAATACAAATGCTATGAATTAATGTTTATTCATCTGATTTTTTTAATGAAAAACTTAAAGTGGTTTGCCACATCGTATTCTTTTGTTCTTCATATAAATGGGGAAATCTGAGAAATTTCCCCTTCAATTTTCACCAGGGTCTGCTTCTAAACATTTTCCTTTAAAAATTCTTCAATGACCCTGAAAAATTCTTTTATTTCTTTTGTCATTTTATGTTGCCGGGTAGGTAAATATTAAAATCTAAATAAAATAAAAAAGTTTTTAAAAAAGAACCTTATGTATATTTTCTATTTTTGGAAATTTTCTAAACATTAGTATTTTAACGTGAAAATTTTATTCATAATCTTTCCATAGTAAATACACACATCTTTTATATTTCGATATTTTTTTTTTTTAATAAATGTAAAATTCTGTATCTAATTAAATCGTCCTTTTTTTTTTCTTTTTCTTAAACAAAGAATCAGAAATTTCTTTTTAAGATCTTCAAAATAAACATGAAAATATCAAAAGAAAAAAAAAGAAGAAAAAAAAGACAAATATTCAAATATGTATTTTTATTATTGGCTTATATTATAAAATTTATTTATAACCGTTCACATCCTGGGTAAGACTATAAACTATGTCTGGCAGCAAGGCCTTGGTCAGGAGGTTTTGAGGAGCATGGAACCACCTTTTAATTGCTGTTGTTCCCAGGTCTACTCTGACCTGGGGTGGTAGCAGCTGTTAGAATCCTAGCTATGGGCAAGTAGTTAACCCCCAAACTGGGGTCAAAACACTATAAAAGTATAAAAATAGATTTTTATAGTTAAAATACCAGCAACAGTTTTTTGAAAAAAAAAAAAATTACCAGTTGACCAATACATTTGACTCTTGAAAAAACCCTTTTTACAAAAATACATCAATGAAACCTGATCTACAAACTGATTTCTTACAAAGAATATATATTGTATTCATATGAACTTATCTTAAAAATCTTGTCACCATTAAGGTTGATATGTTATAAAACAAAATAAACTAAACCTATAACTGTCCATTTTTAAAAAAAAATTTTTTTAATACTAATGTAATTACTTAGATAACGTAATACTTGACAAACAAAATAGTTACCCATTTTACATTTTTATATTTTATAAAATTTTTAATTTTAATTAATCAGTAACTATAAAAAAAATAAATTTTCAATTACTATGGTTAAGGGGAGGCACAGTGGAGTAATGGATAGTGGCTCTGATTGAAGAATCGGAGAGCCGAGTTCAAATTCCAGTCGAATCCATTACATTCACTTACGTGCTAACACCCTTGGGAAAGGTATGAATCCTCTTCTTCTTTCCCCAGCTATGGGTTAATGGTAGGACAGACTGGGTTCTATAGCCTTGGATGGCAACTGGTTTACTACAGAAAGAAATGGCAACATACTGCAGGAAAAAATCTGCCTCGTCAGTCAGGTATCGAAAGATACATGATTGCCTAAGCGTGTATCACGCATGGCACCTGACTGACTGACTGATGGTTAAACTAAATTAGTTTTACTGCACTTGTTTACTGCAATTGAGTATTATGCATTGCACTAATTGAATTTTGGTATAAAAAATTTTAGTGTATTAATCAAAGGATTCCTGTACATTGTAAATGATTGTTTGATAGAAATAGATTGAAAATCAGGAAAGAAAAGATTGTTAATGAGGAATTAATGCCAGTCTGATATGTAGAAAGTGAAGAGGTTTTATTTTAATCTCAAGTATTTCTGTTTGATGGACCAGCAGATGGCTCGTTAAGAAGTTTGGTCTTCTAAGCAGCATTAACTTTAACTGAAGAGGAATGACAAGTAAACTTTAATAATTTTCTCTTGTGAGCATGCAGCAGGCCCTTTCCCAGCACATGAATGAGATTGAGAATTGGAGTGCAATGTGGGATAATTATTGGCCAGTCAGTAGAAAGCTTGGGTGAGGGTTGCATTGTATGTTTAACACAGTATTACTTGACAGTAGTGCTATTATCTGTATGATGTAAATTAATTAGGGATTATTCTTGGAGAAGTACAAAATTTTATTAAAGCAATGTAATACAAAATGATTAACAAGAGACAGTTAAACCAGTTTATTGATAATCAGCCTGTAAGTGTTAGATATATTTTTTGACAAATATAGACTTTTGTATCAAAGGGATCGTTTTTCTCATGACACCACTTTTATTTTCATTAACATTGCCAAAGAGTAAATCTTTAGCAATTTTTATTGTTTCAAAAAATGATTATTAGAATTTTAATAAAATCTAAGCACATGAAAGTGAATTTATACTTTTTCTTTGTTCTTGAGAATTGGCAACAAAAATAATAAACACTATTAAATTTTTTTATTGGAATGGTTGGCAAAACATCAGCTAATTGCCAATTGATTAAAGTTATTAAAATATGTGAACCAACTATGAAGAAATTCTTATTATATACCATTTTATAAAGATAAAATAGCAAATAAGAATTTCCTTATAATTGGTATGCATATTTTAATAATTTAGTAAATGTTTATAAATTTATGAATAAAAAAAATTGTTTTCATATTTATTTCTTTATAAATTGGTAAATGATATTGCATTGCATTAGTATTAATGCAATTATTTTTTAGTATGTTTTAAATATAAAATTATTTACATTGTTCGGAATGTTGCCCTCATCTTTACCATATTCGTGATGTTTTGGCCACTGTATGCTCAGCCTTCTTCAGGTAATTGTAATTTTGAACTGAACCCTTTGTTTCGTTCACTGGAGTAAATTGTTTTAGTTCCACATGCCACGCCTCTTTGGGATGTCTAGTTATCACCCTTTAACTCAACTCTCCAAGTTTTTGTTCACCATTGCAGTAGCCAGGACTGTTTGGGGTAAGTCACTGGATGCAACCAGCATTTCTATCCACTGAGCCATGTGTCAATACCTCATCTCAGAAATACAGACAGATATAAAATTCTTGTAAATAAACAATCTAATAGTGTTTAATATTTTTGTTGTAAATTCTCAAGAACCAAAAAAAAAAAAAAGGATAAAATTTACTGAAATCATATTAGGTTTTATTATAATTCTAATCATTGCTTTTTTAAACAATAAACATTACCAAGGAGTAGTTAAAATAAAAGCAATATCGGGGTGGCGGGGAAATAGTCCTTTTGGTACTCCCCTTTTTGTTTTTGTTTCTTTTTTTTGTTTTTTCTCCCAAGCATGAAAGTTCATTCATGTTTGCCTTTTTTTTTTTTTTAAATTTAACATTTGGACTTTGGTTTTCATCTTTTTAGTTGTACACATTTTTCATCAGAACCAGGAGAAAGAATCAATAAATTGGTTTCGGTGTCTTTTTTGTTAATTTTATATTATATCTTTATATGGTAATATTATATTTTGTTACACCTCTTTTTGTTATGAATTTTTCCTGTTTTAACATGTCTGTTTTTATTGCTTTAATTGCAAATGATTCTGCCTTCCATCATTATGGCTGATGCTAACCTCCAGGAAAATGACACATTGTGCCTTCTTGGGCTAACATTTTCCACTTAAATGATGAGAAAAGATTATATTGAATCGATTGCTATGTCTGCTGCTAGGAATGTAGGTCACTGTAATGCTAGACAATTTTTCTCATCAGAATCTATCTTACATATTTATAAGTCTACCATTTGCCCATGCTTTGAATATTGCTATGACATCTGGTCTGCTGTTCCTGCTATATATCTAAAGATTCTTGATAAAATAGTAAGAATCTGCACTGTAATTGGTCTTGACCTGGCAACATGGCTTCAGTCACTTTCCCACCACTGTAATGTAGCTTCCCATTTCTAAAAATACTTTCATGGTAACTGTTCTGATAAACTTTTCTCTATGGTACCTAGACTTTATGCAATTAAGTGCAGTACTAAATTGGCAGCAAGGCCTCATAATTTTTAGTTGAAATAGCATAGAACTTAGTTACATCTAGCTAACAGTCTCTTTTCTCACACTTTTTGCTTGTGGAACTCTCTTCTGGATTCTTTTGTTATCTACTGTCTATTTTATTGTTCCCACTTAATGTTTTTCTTTTTGTTATATCCTTTCACACTCAGTAACCCTTTTCTGTCTTAGTGGCTTTGTTGTCTTGCTCTTGATGAAATGAATAATAAAAAAAAAATGACTAATATCATTGCTTTACTTTTGCCATTAAAGATGATGGCATTTTTTTAAATAGATATTTTTTGTCCTTGTTTTGTGTATTTGGTTTTCATATATATGAGAGGTTTTAAAATATTATTTTCCAATTCCTTTTGAGCTCCGCTTGTACATGGAGTCAGTTTTTTCATTTTTCTCGTGTCACCAGTGCAAGGGCGATAACTCAAAGGGTAAAAAGTTATAAAATGTCTATAAATACACAATACTTGTTGGGTTTTGTCTTATTTCAATGATTATAAATGTTATGTCCCCTGGTGTTTACAAAGCATGCTCATTTGTCCTTATGAAACTGTTGAATTATTTATGGAATAGATTCCTGATGTTAAATTCGGTTTTAACCTTTTAATCTAGTTTGTAGAGGATTACGAACCAACCAAAGCAGACTCTTATCGAAAGAAAGTTGTATTGGATGGAGATGATGTCCAGATTGATATTCTGGATACAGCTGGACAAGAAGACTATGCAGCAATCCGTGACAATTATTTCCGAAGTGGTGAGGGCTTCCTCTGCGTGTTTTCCATTACAGAACAGGAATCTTTCCAAGCAACAGCCGAATTCAGGTGAATTCTACAATCTGTTTTTCCTACTCCATCTTCATTGATTTTTTTTTTTTTTCTTTCTTTCTTTCATGTTGTGATGATTTTTTTCTTTCATTTAAAGAATGTGCTCAAAGGCTGTTGTAGATTTGTTCAGATTTTGAAGATAACTTCCAATCTAGACAAATACAACTGCTTTTATTAGTCGAAAGTGATGCTATATTTGAACAATCAGCTCTTTGATAGATCATGGCACTATAAATTCCTGCGTCCTCTAAGATTTTACCTTTTATGGGGAAAATACTCTTGTAAAAATGCTGGATTCCATTGCTGAAGATGAATTAAAAAGAACAAAAACTTGTAACTCAAATGGATAATTTATTGTTAAAACAGATATATTTTGGAAAGCTTTTCTAATCCTTGATCACTATTGAGGAATAAATGAAACAGTGACTAATTTACATTATATACGTTATAAATTCAAATTTAAAAAAAAAAAAAATTTGATTGAATTCACAAGATATGCGTAAGCTGCTGAAAGCATGAGAATTCCTTTAAGAAAGAAAGAAATGTCATTTCTAAACCAGAGTAGAAGAAAAACAAAAATACTCCTAGTTTTTTCATATTTTCTGTTGAAGTAAAGAAGTCCATGCTGGGTGAAGCTGTGCTGCATCAATTCTATTACAGACATTTTTGATACTTGCTATTATGATTTCTTTAGCTACACATCTTTGGTCAAATTTGTGTTGGTTGGTTAATTTTATTTCAGGTTGGTCACAGGCTATTTTGTGATGACCTTTGATGGTGTGAAGTGCAATTGCTGATGACTTCTTTAGGTTTTATTTTATTACCTAAGTACAAAAACACTTGTCCAGTTTGATCAATATAATAAATTCCTACAAACCAATATTTTAATACAATTCAATTTGGTCAATCACTAGTTTTTTTCTTGGAGCAGATTTACAATTTGGTGGGGGGGGGATACTATTGTCCATTGAAAAAGTTTATAAAAATACAAACAAACCTTTCTATAAATTCAAATTCTGAACATCTGGCTTCTTTGGAAATGTTATACAATGACTGACTTTACTGTAATTGCTCAGTGTTGTTCTCAAAACACTGATGTTGTTGTCTTTCTGGCATCATGGTGGTTCTGTGGTTTACTTAAATACAAATATTATGGACATCTAAGCCTGGAGTTGATTTTTAAATAGTATTGCTATTGTTAGGTAAAAAAAAATTCTTTTGTTTTATATACCCGTTAAATTTTTTAATGCATCAAGTTTTTGCTACTGTAAAGATGATATACTGTAATTTATATAATTTGGTAAGCAGTAGCAATATAAATTGTTCAGACTGAGCGTCAGAACTTGAAAAGGAGTGTTAAGAAAAAAACGTCATTTATTGCGGTAGGTGGCAGAAATAGCTGACAAGTATTTGTTGGTGTCCATCTGCTGCCCATACGAATGATTTTGCTATACTTCAGCCAAACACCACAAGATTGAGTTCATCAATTTGCTTGGGTGGTTAGCATGTTCACTGTACAATTCACGTTAACTTGAGGATTGTGTCCTGAATTCACAACATTTGGGTGTTGTAGTGGAAGGTTCAATTGTGACAATTTGAGACTCATGATTACAGCAGTTCATACAAACTTTTAAAAGGTGTTAGTTTTCTTTGTATATTTATTGATATTACTGATTCTAAAATAATTCCTTTAGATTGTAAAATAAGAGGGTTGCTCTGAAAGTAAGGCTTTGCAGGTTATTTAGTGCAAGTAAATATTTTTAGCTTGTAAGAACTTTTTGGATATAATAATTTGTTACAAGTCCTACTAATTAATCCATATGTGGGGGAGAAGAGGTAGATTCATGCCTTTTCCAAGAGTATTTGCATATAAGTGAATATAATGAACCTAATTGGAAATTGGGTCACTGATTAATATTTCCGAGTTGTTATACATTACTCCACCTACATGTCCAAGCTTACAGCATCTGGTATTCCTAATCAATCACCCATATAGTTACTGACCAGGCTCAATGTTGTTTAACTTTGGTGATCATACAAGAATCAGTGTTTCAATGTGATATGGCCATAAGCCTGTTGTGGTGGTGCTATGACAATAGAGGTTGAATCCTTCTTCCAAGAACCCAATTTTTTTCTTTTTCTTCATTACAGAATGGCAACTGATATGAAAGTGCATACAAAATGGGTGTATTTTTTAAAATTCTTCCATGTAGAAAAATTGATTGCTCACATTGCCATTAACTGATGAATGCTGAATGTTTTCCGATCCCTCTGATATGAGAATAGTTAGGCAGTGGTTAATTTCAGCACTAGTGACAGTAATGTGTATGACAAGCCACATTCTGTGTGACTCTGGGCAACTATCAACCCTTGAAATGAAAAGCAATTTGTTAAACTCATCCACTGAGTCTTACTAATTAACCCATAGATGGGGACAGAAGAAGTGGATTCAAGGTGTTTGCACATAAGTGAATGTAACGAACTCAATGGGAATTGAAACTCAGCTCTCCAATTAACAATTCTGAGGCATTATTCATATTACCACCCATATATCCATGCTTACAGTACCTGGTATTACCAAGTAGTCACCCATCTAAGTACTGACCAGGTTTAATGTTGGTAATTGTATGGGAACTTTAGTTTCAATTCCAGTTGGGTTTGTTAGTTATATTTACTTACATACAAATACCCTGTGGGTTAATTAATAAGACTTGTATCACTAAATCATTATCTAAAAAAATTTTTTTTTTTTTTTTTTTTACAATCTAAAAATATTTTCTGGTTTTAAATAATGTGCAAAGGGTTTATAAGCCATAGAAAATGAATCAATCGCTTTGTTTACATTTTGAATATTAAACTGAGAAGGTATGGGTTAGTGAGAAAAAAAAATGATCTGAGTGAAGGGGATGTGCTTTCTTTAAATAGGACAAATATCCCACAAATGTTGGAGGAGCCTCATAGGGGATCTTTTATAAAACAAGACACTCAGTACCTTAGTTGCTCACCATAATGATTCTCACCATAGTTTTGATTTTTTTAAAAATTTTACTTTAATTAAAAGAGAAAGCAACTTAAGATAAAAGTGTATAGAAAGTCCTTTAATTGTGGGATCATCCACAGTAAATGGCAGATATTCTATTATCACAATGCAGTATATTTAATAACAAAAGTGATGGAAACATGAATGAAGTTGGCTCGAGTATATAGTCAAAACATTTATAAGGAAAAAAAATTTAAGGTCTAAATTTATAATTCTTGGTTCCCCCTCTCCTTTGTGTGCATGTGTAGACATATCAGCATAAACCTCACTTTAGTTTGATGGAGTCTTAATGGACAAAACGTGTCACATGAAAACTTTTTCCCCACTTTATCACAATTTTCCCCTGAAATTATTCTTGATATATAAAAATTCATATACCATATATTTCTGTGTATAAGGCTATCTTTAGATAAGGTCAAAAAATATAGCAAATTTTCAAAAATTTATCCTATAATATAGAAGATGACTACTTAATAATTATGTAAAGATGACTTTATTGGAAATGTTACTTACTGTATCCTTAAAAATTCAAAATAAATGAAATTACAAAACCAATTCTATAATCATGTTTTTCATATATATATATATATATATATATATATATATATAAAACAAATGCTTAGAGGTACAAAATTTATATATAGTTTTAAAAACAAGCAATATATTGATTTTAATTTTAAAAGTCTCTAAGGCCCTTTCAACCAACATCTCATCAGGAGACAATCGTTGGATAATTAATCAACGAAAAGAATATTAACGACAATGAAGAGCAAAAAAGGGGGGAAACCATTGTTTTGTTTATATTTTCACATGATCTGTTGTGAATACTGATTCTATTTCTTCCTCTTCTTTTCCTATATCTAAACAGTTACAAGCAGCCTGGTGTACTAATGGCCATACTAGCCAGCTATTGAACCAAAGAAATAAGATCATATTTAAATGTCAACATAAAAATAGGTTATATATGTATATACCCCCCCCATATATATATATATATATATATATATATATATAAAATGAATGATGTATTTTATAATTATGAAGATGAATTTAAGGTTTTTATATATATATATATATATATATATTTTTTTTTTTTTTTTTTTATATATGATGATGATTGTTATTATATTGATGTAGATTAGATGATGAGGATATAAATTTTAATTTCAATGTATTTCACTAGCTGTCACTTGTACTTCCTCCTTCTACCCCTGCTGATTGTGTTGACACTTTGCTTCTCCTTTTTCTTTCCTCCGCTCCTCACCAATAATGTAAATTCACAGGAAAATCTTTCTAGGTCAAGTAATTTAGACATTTACTTTCTTTTTCTCTTATTTAATTTTAAAATAATTTTTAAGAAATTGTCTGTGTAAATTTAAAACATTTTGTAATTTCTGTCTGATGAGGTAGATATTAAAAACTCGTCTGTCAAAATAAATTTATTACTGAATTCTTCAATGATGTGTTTTTTCCTTGATATATATATATATATATATATATATATATGTGTGTGTGTGTTTCTATTGCAAGTAAGTAACCTTCACATACTCTCTTCTTGTGTTTTTGTCTTTCATATATTGGTTTTGGTGTCTAGAGAACAAATTCTTCGTGTAAAGAATGACGACAACATTCCGTTCCTGTTGGTAGGGAACAAGGCTGATTTAGAGGACAAGCGACATGTAAATGCAGAGGAGGCAAGTCAGCGTGCACGGCAATGGAATGTTTCTTATGTGGAAACCTCAGCAAAAACTAGGGCTAATGTAGATAAGGTGAGTGACCCATAGCTATTATCTTTTTACATTTATGAGTTTATCTGGAGATAAGTCATTTTCACTGAGCTGAGAAGCATGATGTAATAAACTTGTATATCTTTTCCATTTGCACTTCAATGACTGACCATCCTGTGTATGACAATCTACATCTGGCATCAGGGCCTCTGAAGGTTTTGAGTAGTGAGGAGCCACTTTTTAATTGCTGTTGTTCCCAGGTCCACCTTGACTAGGGACGGTAACACCTGTTAGGATCCCAACTATTGGCAAATAGTTATTCCCCCCCCCCCAAAAAAATGACTGTGGCTAAAACACTATGAATACATTTTTATAGCAATAATATCAGCTGCACATTTTCATAGTAAAAGAAACTACCAGCACTCCAGTTGTATGTGTGTTAAAAAGAAAGAAAAAAAAAAGCCAATACATTTTTGTAAAAGAAATTACTAATGCTCCAAGAAAATTAAATTTCGGCATTAAATTATCCATAAGTAGTTGATATGCTACTAAACATCAATAGCTGACATAAGTTTGATTTATTGTTGTATCTAAAGGAATAATGGATTCTTATTTTTTCATCCAACATGTTTTTTATCACTTTAGACATTACTTTTAGTGGATACCCATATTTGAGTAGATGTTCTGTTTATTGTAAGTGATTAATGTGCTGAAATTTTTCATATCAAAATTCAATGTGCCTTAACCGACTCAGCTACAGTGAGCATCGTAATTAAACAACATTGTATACTACTGCCCTTAAGTACATCGTTCTTGTTTAGATTCTCAAAAGTTTACATTTCAGATACAAAACTGAACAGTTATGAACAAACAACCTGCAATGTTAACTTTCAGTGAGCAGGTAGAGGTTGGGGGCTGGAGTTAAAAATACCTTTTTTTTTTTTTTTTTTTTAAATACTATATTACACTGGGGATCACTTTATTACTTAATAACAATAGAAAATCGATCCCTCGTTTTAGGTTCATAAGAATCTTATGTTAATACAAATTTATGGTCATATTCTTGTAATTCACATCAAGAGTTTGACTAAAACCAGAAACTCGCTTAACAGATATTCAGAAAGCTACAAGACTGAACATTTGACTTGTCACTATTAAGAGAAATCATTATTTTGAGTAGTTCAGACAACCTTCAATACTGACAGAGGGTTAATCCTTCCTTGAAGATGTCCAAACTTAGTCTGAAAAGAATTCAGAAAGCAAGTGTCTGTCCACTTCAAGACAACATCTAATATCTGAATGGTTTCATTTTATGTAAATAGCAAAAATACAGTAACTTGGAATTGTAACAAGATTAAATACAAGATTGAACATATTTAATCCGGCACCTCTGTGATTTGGAAACTCTCCTAGTTTAGAATCTGTTGCTATTTGCAGATCTGCTACAAAAGTTTGACTTATAATTTCTAAACTGTTTTGCTAAGCATCCTGGGTAAGACAATAAACTATGTCCAACAGCAAGGCCTATGATCAGGTTTTGAGGAGCATGGAACTACTTAATTGCTGGTATTTCTAGGTCCACCCTGATATGGAGTGGTAGCACTTGTTAGGGTCCCAGCTATAGGCAAATAGTTAACCTACAAACTGGGGCCAAAACACTATGAAAGTGTAAAAATAGGTTTTAATACCAGAAATACTTTGTAAAAACAAAAAAAATTTATTACCAGCAATAAATTTTTGAAGAAAAAAAATTATTACAAGAAAGATTTTTTTGAAGGAACAAATATTACTAGTAATGTTTTTGGAAAAAAAATATTACCAGCAATAAAAATTTTCTTGGCATTAAATAACCCATTGAGGTTGATATGCAATAAAACAAACCAAACTAACTTGTTAACTATTTTGAAATAATTCAACAAATTTTGATGTTTATCTAAGCATAGAATTTTTTTTCTGAATTTCATAAATGGTTCTAACTGCAATTAAAAAGCAGAAGCAAATTGAAATCATTTGCATTTCTTATAATTTCTATAGATGTCCAGGTAGTATAATGGTAATTGGTACAGTTATCAAGCTAAATTTCAAATTCCTGTCAATTCTGTTTTGTTAATGCTCTTGAAAAAGGCATGAATCCATATTATGTGTTTACAGAGAAATTGTTAAAAATCAATAAACTGCCTAAAGTTTTTGTTTTCAGACATTTCTTATGGTCCAGCTGTCAAGTTTGTCAGGTGAAAGTTAATCCAGTTTTGGGCTTTAGATTTACAGCAGTTCACTAATTGTAGACTAATCTAGCAACCTTAGTTTAGTATAGCAATGACTTTTTAAAATCATTTGCTTGCCTTTAAATCTCTGACAGGTGCCTTCTACTTAGATGTAGTATCAAAAGGCACTATATTTGGTGAAACCTGTCTTGATTGTGTGTGGCAATATCACTTGAAATGAACAGTGATTTCAAAGTGTGACAGGAACCTAGTGGAAAATGTTGATGTAGATGACCTACTATCTTTTGTAAGTAAAATGGTTCTGTACTCCAAAATATCTTTGTTTAACAGAAATTTTTGCAAACAATAAAAGAAATATGACATTATCAATTTCCAACCAAAAAAAACACACATGGCAACACTGATGCATAAAGGTGTAATACTTTAATATGATGTGTGAAAGATGAAACTGTAGAACATGTGATAGCTACAATTTTTTTCATCAGCCCAAAGGTAGCAACTTCTCTAACTACAGAAAATAGATGACTCTGTCAGAACAATTTATTCATTGTGGCAACATCAAACATCAGTCATAAATCACACACATAAGCTTTTGGGGGTGAATTTAATTTTAGAATGCAAAGCTTGTACTTACAAATACATCCAATTATCTATTACCAAAGTGTTAGTTATTGTGTCAAATTCTTTGTCTGGGAGTAGTGGATAAAATATGTAGTGCTGATGTGGTTGCTTTCTCTGTCTATTGCTATACCCAAATTCATCTAAATGCTAATTCTCCACTGCTTATATCACTAGAGATAGGCTAAACCTGATGAATAAACTCAATATGCTACTTGTCCTACTAAAGTCTTCTTTTTTTGTTTTCAGATGTTTTATGATTTGTTGCGTCTGTGTAACCGGCATAAGCTGGTCACGTCGTCGCACCCAACGCGTGCTTCCTCTTCGGCACGCAAAAAGAAAAAAAATTGCACCATTTTGTAATTTTTTCACTCTCCTTACTGCTTTCTACCACCCTCTTCCTCTTTATCACTTTCCTTTCAATTTTTTCTACACATTTACTGTTGATCTCACCTCCAAATGACAGGTTGAGCTGATTATTATTATTATTTGGGGTTTTTTTTGGTGGGGGGGTAAATATTTTTTGAATTTTTTTTATTTAGTTTTTATTTCAAATGATTTTTTGTTACATCTTTCGTCTGACCATTCCACCCATGTTTTTTGTTGTCTTTCTTTTTCAAATTTTTTACTTATTGCTTCCACTTGAATTTTAAGAAACAATTGGATTATTCAAAATTTGATCCAACACCCACATTTTAGCTGAAATCTTTCCAGATTTGATGCATAAAATTAAATTTATTTGGATATAAAAGTTCATAATGGTGTATTCATTAAATGCAAAAATTCCGAAATTTGTTCAGACAACTGATATTTTTACCTTGTGAGAATTAAGGTGCATATATATATATATATATATATATATATATAGCTGTAAGAGTTTTGCTTGAATTTTAGCTGAAGCAATCCTGTTTAGGTGAAAGAAGTGATAGTTGTCTTCAATATTAGGCCACCATTGCTGATCAACAAACATATGA